CGAGTTATCCCTGACCCGAGTTACCCCTGATGATTCGGGGCTCCGAATGATCTCCGAGCAGAAGCGCTCATGCCCCATGACGGCCCAAGAGACCAGCGACGGCCCCAGGATGCCCACGGCCCCAAGATGCCCCCCAAGGCGGCAGACGGCGGGAGGACGATGGCGATGGCGATGACGATGTTATTTGACGACGACGAATGGCATATACGACGATGTTATATGACGACGACGACGACATTATATGACGACGACGATGTTATATGACGACGACGAATGGAACATGTTCCATCCGTGAGGCCCACGCCCCCAAGACAGTTGTCTCGACCGTAGGGCGCGCATGCACGCGCGCGCGCGCACGCGCGCATGGATATTCGAATGCGGCGACGGCGACGGCCGTCGGAAACAAGGAGCCATGAGCTCTGTGGGCATGTAGCTCTCTCTGCGAGCCAGGAGCTCCATGGGCCATGTGCTCGTCGAGTTAAAACTCTAGCGCCATCGCGGCCCCAATGGCCAGCGACGGTTCCAAGGCGCCACGGCCCCGATGCCCCAAACTGCTCGGCAAGACGGCCCCGCGAGAACCATGGCGATGATGTTGACTGGGCATTCCGACGGCGACGACACGTGTAAACGCGCCTCCTTGACGCATGGAACGATGGGCCCACGCCCTGAAGAGTATTCTCGACCGAAGGCAAATATGCATACATGCATATACACGCAGGCACATGCCGACCGCGAGGGCCGTCGGAAGCAATGATCCATGAGCTCCATGGGCAGAAACTCTCCGCGAACAATGAGCACAATGAGCCGTGTACTCTACGGGCATGACGCTATCCGCGAGCCATGGGCCCCATGGGCCATGAACTCCACGGGCAGAAGCGTTCGCGCGCTCCCCCCCCCTCCCAGACGGCCCCCAGATGCCCCGGGGCAGCTTTGCAGACGGCCCATGGGGAACGGACTGCGATGCCAATGCCGATATGTATCTAACAACGGCGAAAAGCATATGCGCATTCGAATATCGCGCGCCCCCGGCGCACGCTTTCGCCGCGCACAGCGAGGCGCTTCGAACATGGTCCCACCTGGGGGGCCCAAGTTCTAGCGACCTTTATAACTGCTAACAAAACTAGAATTTGCAATCTGTATAGTCTGCTGAATTCTATGCAACTCATTGGAATTATGTAAAAGATGTTGTAAATAGATAGAACCTTCGCATATCTCACAACACATATGATTGCAAAACTGGTTTGCAACCGTTGCACGCAAAGCGTGTACTACTTGCAACGACGTCCTACACAAGTGTGCAGTCTTCTTGAAATTAAGCGGCAAGTGAATTCCATTCAAGCAGCCGCGCGATGACGACGACCGCTGCCGGGCCAAGCCGCCAGTTGCGAGCCAGAACGCCAAGAACAATATCATGGCGAAGGGCCCAACCATACGCAGGTGCGAGCACCGTAAGTCAGCTGGGACGAAGAAAGGGGAGCTCCTTACGGGGCCGCGAAACGCTGCTCCGGTTTGGGGGCGGCGCGCGCGGGCGCAACCGCTGGGGCTCACGGTGGAGCTCCCTATGGGGCAACGAAGCGCCGTGCTGGAGCCGAGCCCCTTGCGCGGCCGCTGTCTGTCGATTTCCTCCCAACTCGCATCTTTCGCCGCCTTTTGCCCGCGCGCCCAGGCGGCCGTGGCCGCGGGCCGAGGGCGGCGCGGAATCCCAGCGACGCGCGCCGGTCGCCCCGGGGAAGGGGGCCGGCGACGCGCGCTGGTCGTCCGCGGGAATAAGAAAAGCTAAAATGTCGGCTCACACAGTGCAAATCGCTCGACAGAGCGCGCCGGGGAGCGGGGCAACTCCTGGAGGCGTCGCGTCGCAGAGTTCCCGCGACGCGCGCTGGTCGCCCCGGGCGGGTTCCAGCGACGCGCGCGGATCGCCATCGGCGCGAGGCTGGGCGCTCCTCAAGTCAGACCTTGCGGATGAACTCGGCGAAGCCCAACTCCTCGGCGATGGCCGTCGCCACCCTCCCGCGGCGCTCCGCGCGCGCCGCGCACTGCTCCGGCTGCTTCCGCAAGCCCCCCAGCGGCCCAGCGAGGAAGAAGTCGACGCGCGGCGCCCGCGTGAGCAGAAGGTCCTCGCGGCGCGTGACGCGCGAGGGCAGCGCGTGGAGTCCCAGCCACCAGTCGTCGCCCTCATTCCTGTCGCCCCCGACCTCGCGGCGGCCGCAATCCAGGATCGCGCCCGGGCGACGTCGGCCGAGCGGGCAGCGCGCTGGGCAGCCCACCGCCCAGGGCGAAATTCCAAATTGCCGATGGGGGCGAGGAGTGTAGACTGCTCGCGCCTAAGCGGCGCGGCCGCAGACTGCCCATGAGCGCGCACGGCGCGCCCCTGGCACGCCGCCGCGGCGATGGCCCCGCCGCGCGAGAAAGCGGGGCTGGCGCGGGTGACCTTGGAGTGCGGAAGGTGAAGGGCTCCGGCGTGCGAGGCTCGTTGAACACCAGCGGGCACGTGAGTTCTTCCGCGAGGCTGTCGTCGTGACGCTTGAGGTCGCCCACAGAGGGCGCGCCCGCGTACTTCTCCATGCGCGCCCAGAACCCCAGCGGCAAGTGCTTGAGATAGATCATATTATCCCCGTCTCTCTCGGTTTGCTCGACCGTTGCCCTGTCCCGCGGGTCCAAAACGACGTGCGCGATCTGCCCCTCGGCATCCTTGACGAGGCCGCTCTTGCGGTCGAGCGCCTCCAAGAGCTGGGGCCGCATGCCCACGTGCACGGGGAGGAGTCCGTGCATGCCGCCGGTGTTCTTCGGGTTGGCGAAGTTCATTATCTTGGCGGCGCCCTTCACGCCCATCGTCGGGGCAGACCGATCGGCTGCCTGCAAAAAAAAGGGACTTCTCCAGGACGTCCGCGTCCCGCTGGGCGCGCGTGTTCATCTACTGCGCCACGGTGTCCCAATAGGACCCGATCATGTGGCCATCCTGGAACCTGTCCTCCCGGAGCCGACGATCGTCGGGCTTCAACTGCAGGGCGTTCCACATAGCCCGGATGGCCGGAGGCACCTGTTTCCCCGGCTTGCGCAGGAGCGTCATGAGGTCCCGGAGCTTCGGGTCCTGGAGGCGGCTGGACGCCTGGAGCTCGCAGCACCGCGGCATGTTGCAGAAGAGTTTCGAACTGTGTGATGGGAAAGCCAAAATGGCGGTCTCCGAATGCGGCCTGTGCCATTGGGGCCTTCGGTGGAGCTCCCTGTGGGGCCACGAGCCGTGTGAGGGGTGTGCCACAATGGGTGGCGGTCCACGCATGCGGCCTGTGCCACTGGGGCTTTCGGTGGAGCGCCCGGTGGGGCCACGAGACGTGCGATGGGTGTGCCAAAATGGGTGGCGGTCCCTGCATGCGGCCTGTGCCACAAGGGCCTTCTGTGGAGCTCCCTGCGGGGCCACGAAAATGTGTGGGGTGTGTGCCAAAATGGGTGGCGGTCCCCGCACGCGGCCTGTGCCACTGGGGCCTTCGGTGGAGCTCCCTGTGGGGCCGCGAACCGTGTGAGAGGTGCGCCAAAATGGGTGGCGGTCCCCGCATGCGGCCGTGCCAAAACAACCCAGGTTCCCCCCGACACCAGTCCTGGCACATCACCAGTACCTCGCGGAGGAGGAGGAGGAGGAGGGGGGGGAGGAGGAGGAGGAGGGGGAGGAGGAGGAGGAGGAGGAGGAGGAGGAGGAGGAGGAGGAGGAGGAGGAGGAGGAGGAGGAGGAGGAAGGGGAGGAGGAGTGAGGAGGTGACGCGTGGCGCTGTCTCTTCAAAACGAGGACCCGACACCACAGGATGGTTGGGCATTTCGGCGGCCGCCCGAAACCCGCCGCGGCAAACCGCTTGCCGCGCCGCCGAACACAGCCCGGCCAACTCCCGCACAACCGGCCGCCCGCAGGAGGCGCTGTGCAAGCAGGCCGCCGTGCTGGCCGCGGCTCCGAGCCCGCAGCGGTGTTCGAAGCCGAACGGAAGGCGCCCGAGCCTCGCGAAGCGGCCCCAGGCGCCGAGTGCGCGGGATGCCCCGTCACACCTCGCCAACAAGAATCCAAAAAACCGCCCTCCATCAGGCTCGGAAGCTTCCTCAACCATCCACCCCTGGATGCCCCGTGAAATCAACCTGGGTGATACATGAGCCGTCTCCTCACCAACGCATTCCAAAGATGGTCCCTCCCTGTGGCGCGGTGACCCCACCGAGCAGCACTGGATGTCCCGAATCATGACGCTGGATGGGACTTGCCCATCACCTCGCCACCATGTTCCAAAGACGGCCGCTTCCTTAGGCTCGGTGACTCCTTAGGCCAACACAAGATGTCCCGCGAGATGACGTTGGATGAGACACGCACCGCACCGCACCAGCAAATTCCCAATATGACCCCTTCCTGGGGCTCAGGATGCCGCGCGGATCGACGCTGCATGACACATGCCCCGTTACCTCACAAACAGGTTCCAAAGCCAGAGCCGGCCAGTCACCCTTCAGGCACGCGTCGACCTGGATCTCAGCACCAACCCAGGCCGGGTGGAGGGCCGCGCAGGCCAGCTGGCTCACGGGAGGCGAAAGGGGAGGGAGAGGGGAGGAGAGGGGTGGGGGGTCAGCATCACGCGGATCCCCAAACTCTGGTCGGCCAGAGGTGATCTAGAGCCTTCATAGGTGGGATCCGAGCAGATGGGGTCGAAGGATCGCGCCCCATCGCCGACGCATCGGTAATGCATCAGCGATGCATCGGTGGCGTCGGCGGTGCATCGGCGACGCCAGCGCGGAAAATCGGGCTACACATCAAGCCGCATCTTCGATGCATCAACGATACAGCGCGACCCTCCGACTCCATCTATTCGGACTCCATCTGGGAGGCCTAGGCCTAGAGGATCAGAGGGACTGAGGGATTGGCTAGCCCCCCGTTAGCGCTGACCTCTCATGCATGCGCCCCGACTTGACTCGGTGACCCCCCCGGTGGTCGGCCCCAACCCCCGCTGCCCATCGGCTCAGGAAGAAAACGCCCTGGCCTCGCAGTTGGCCGCCTGGCCCAACGACGGCTCGTTCACGAAGCCGAAGGGCTCGTTGTGCCTGCGGACCTGGAGTGGCGGCGATGGGAGAACTCCGACGCCGTACCCCGAGAAACCAGCGTTACAACTTTTGCACAAAGCGCGTTTGCGCCCGTCGGGTCCAGGGACCCTCGCAGATCGATCCAGCTAAAGAAATAACGCAAAAAGATGGGGTCCGGAGCTGTGGCCGTGATTTCTCATGATGTTGTAACTTTCATTGGTACGTCGGAGCTCAGGGTACAACCCTCTGCAAAATCTGACGCTTGTTTCTTCTCGCGACGTGGATGTGTCCCTGAACCCCACTTTCAATTTTCGGCGACGCGAGCAGCGCGGCCCATGCTGCCCGAAAAAATAGAGTCGGGGACAATGCCATTGGAGGACCGGGACGCCGCCACGCCGCGGAACAAAACTTGCGCTTGATTTCGCGGAGGGTTGCAGGATTCAGGTCCTCGAACAATTGTTGTATCTTTCCAGGGTCCCCTCGGCGAGGTCACCAGGCTTCCTCGTGGTCACGGCTGGAGCCCAGTCGAAATCCTGGCCAAAAGGCTCCCTTGGATTGTCCGGTGGTCGACTCTGAAAGTAGGCATCGGAACATAAGCTTGCACAACCCGTGCGCAACTCCGTGCAAAACCTCGCACCATCCCCCTTGCAAAACCTGTGCAGGCTTTAGCCTTCCTTCCGAAACAGACCCCGAGTTTGTCGTGGGCGACAACCTTCGTGGCTGGGCGTGGGCTGTGGAGGGCTGGCGGGACGGTCATCGTCTGAAAACTGCCAACTCTCGAACCGATGGGAGAGGGGCGGCACCATGCCAAGCTTCGGGGCCCCGAAACCGTGTTGTGACGGACTCCGTGGTGACCTTCGATTCTCAACGACCTCACCGCACAGTCCGTCACCGCACGGTCCTTGAGACCTCGGAGGCCCTGGCCGGCTGATGCCTTCTCGGACACCCCCGAATCCCCCAAACCGGGCGGTGTCCGTGTCCGCGAACCCCCACTTTCTGGCCACGCGGTGTTGCCACCCCACCGTGTGGGGTCTCCCGACGAGCCCAGAAAAAACAGGCGGCCCGAGGCCCGCCTCTGGAGGCCGGCACACGCAACAAAGCACGCCATGACTGAACAAGTCAGCCTGCCCGAGGCCCGAGCCCCCCCCCCCCGAGCCCCATCTCGTTGCCTTTCCAGCTCGAGCCACACCCTCTGCGCGAGGCGGAGGCACAGGAGGCCATCAGCCAGGCGCGGCCTGCTCCAGCGATAGCGTTGTCTTCCCTCTGCAAGCGTCGATGATCGCGCTGACCGTGGTCCGCCTGCACACACAACACGAGCATAAAACCGCATACTAACAACAAATGGTGGGAACCGCGTGGCGGTGACCCACTCGTAGGCCGTTCAACCCAACAACAAACGATATCACTTGCTCGCGGAACGTGCATACGATAATCACCGTGTTAATCGCTCGGTCCACCCTGACGTTGTTCCATATCCTACGCGGCAACACAGATCTCACACTGCATCCTCGTATGCATTCTCTCTCCATGCGTGCGTAAATATATACACACATGCATGCATACATACATACACCTGCATATAGCATACATACTACAAACATGCAGTGTCTTGTTTTGTTTGATCTCTCTCTCTCTCTCTCCCCCCTGTGGGTGTAGAAATGGACCTTGCATGCACAGGCACACACAAGCAGAGCTACAACATGTAAGCAAGAGCAGCTGCGGGGCATGGCGCGAGAGGCCAGACGACCCCATGACGGCTTTTGGACAGTGACTTCGGGATCTGCGCGAGAGCTCGACTCCCTCGAAGAAGTGCGAACGCCGACACCACTTATAGGCTCTCGGCCAGTCTTACTCTGCCTCACTCCTCCTCCTCACTCCCCCTCCTCGCTGCTGCCCTTCCTCCTCCTCCTGCTCTTCATCGTGGTTGTCGCTCGTCGCGTCCTCACTCCTCCTCCTTGCTCCGCCTCCACGCTGATGCCCATCCTCTTCCTCCTCCTCCTCGTGCTTCTCGATCACCTCGTCCTCGCTCCTGCTCCTCGCGCCTCCTCCTCGCTAGATCCCGTCTCCCCCTACTCCACTCGCTCCGCTCCTCTACTTCGGCGTTTCTCCTGTGTGAAAATTAATATTAGTTCCGTGGGACCTTCCTGCATCGTCTTGGAAACCGCCTGTCTTGGTGAATGTGGTTCCTATTTCCGTGGGGAGCTTCATGGGTCATCCTGGAGGCCTCCCGGAGCCCTACTTGGAATATATTGGAGCCCTCTCGGAGCCCTCCTCTTGGATCCGGAAAAGCAAGCTTGGAAAACAACTCACCCGGAACTGATGCTTTGCTGTTGCGAATGTCTCACGTGAAACGGCCACTGGGTGGCGATCTGGGACGTGACGTCAATGTAGTGGTTGACCGTGTCGTTGCGATCTGCGTGAGGGGCGCGTGCGATTCTCACAATGCTGAACATGTCCCACGCAGAACCTTTCCGAACGCCCGATGTCAATCGGTCTCGAGCTCTACTGCCTCGGAGAGGTGCTTTTGATCGTATGACAGTGTATATGTTTGATATATATAACGCATCTCCTCGCCTCATTCTCGTTGTCACACTCTGTTTGGAGTGTGTATACCGAAACATACATGTATACATATATATATACACATATAAATATATCCCCGTCAATCACCCTGTTGACTTCCCACACACGGATTGACTCACGCAAGCCCTGGCGTCTGCCGGAAGACGAAGACGAACTCACGGATCATGAAGGCAGGCCACAACTCCAGTCCCAATCCTGACAGACCGCAAGGCGACAGAGTCAGCAGACGCCTGCCGTCGATCGTGTCGTCATTGTGGAACCTCATGCCGTACCTCCCGGGGTACGGCCAGAACCAGCGGAGCCATGAGTCAGCGCGCTTGCAAGATCAGTAAGCGTCGAATCTGCAAATCCGATCGAATCGCATTGTGCGGCGTCGAATCGGGCAACATCGGCACGGTGTCGAAGTCGAATCGGAATCGCCGCGCCAGCATGCATAACGGCGCCATGGAAAAATCGCGCCGCATCGGATCGCCGGAGCATTGGAATCAAATCGGATGGGGCTGGCCGAAACCAATGTCGAATTGGATCGAGCGGACCGAAACGTACCATGTACTGTTTTTGTGGGAGGGTGTTTCCACACATCACTTGGCTTCGCCAGCGGCTACCGCATTTTCTCGCGACGCCCATCCTCTTCTCGCCACCGTCATTTAAGAACAGCGTTGTCACTGAACCGTTCCCAAACCCAGAAGTACTAGTAGCCTGAAGCGCGCCGCGCAATTCCCAAATGCTGGAGCCCCCCTTCGCGCAGACGGGAAGCACACCCGCCCCGAATCAACTATAATTCGGCACACGCATGGTGCCGCGACTAAGAATTTCAGCATGTGCGCGGAATACGGGCAGAACCGTTCACCTGCGACCAACCTCAAACTTCTCACAATTGCATTGCGTTTTGCTACAGTGGGGGCGGACATATCAACCACAAAACATGTCCAAGATCGCGCTGTTGATTCGAAACACCCCTAATCCACGATTCAACGAAACCGAAATCTCGATTTCGGTGTTTCTTTGTTTGTAGATGGAATCACCGAAATCGCGATTTGGGTGATTCTCTCCCTGGACAGAGAGAAACACCCAAATCGCGATTTCGGTGTGTCTGTACCTGGGAAACAAAAACACCGAAATCGCGATTTCAGTGAACCGCCAAAAGGCTTCTGGCTTCTCCGACGCCGGCGGAAGATACCTTTAGGGCCTCTCTGGCACGACTTGGAGCCTCTTGGGCAGTCTTTGGGCCCGCTTCGGGCCGTCTTGGGGGCCTCTTGGGCCGTCCTGGGGCAGTCTTGGAGGCTTCTTGGGCGCCCTTGGGGCGATCTTGAGGGCTTCTTGGGCCGTCTTGAGCCGTCGGAAAGCCGAAAAGGAGCAAACCCCCAAATCCTTCAAAAACCTAAGGAAAAACAATGAATTTGGCATCTGTGGGCCTTCCTGGAGGTGCTCTTGGAGGCTCTCTTGGGCTGTCTTGGAGGCCTCTTGGGGGCGTCTTGGGCGGTCTTGGGCCATCTTGAGGCCATATTTGGCAGTTTTGTGTGCATCTTGGGCCGTCTTGGAGACACCTCGGGGCCATATTGGGCCCTCTTGGGGCTATCTTGGCCGTCTTGGAAGCCATCTTGGGCGTCTTAGAGGCCTCTTGGGCAGTCTTTGGGCCCGCTTCGGGCCGTCTTGGGGGCCTCTTGGGCCGTCCTGGGGCAGTCTTGGAGGCTTCTTGGGCGCCCTTGGGGCGATATTGATGGAGCCGTCTTGTTCAAACACCATATAAAAACAATGAATTTGACCTCTTGGACCGGCCTCTTGGGGGCGTGTCGGGCGGTCTTGAGCCATCTTGAGGCCATCTTGGGCAGTCTTGTGTGCATCTTGGGCCGTTTTGGAGAGATCTGGGAGCCATCTTGGGCTCTGTTGGGGCAATCTTGGCCGTCTTGGAGGCCATCTTGGGCGTCTTGGAGGCCTCTTGGGCCGTCTTTGGGCGCTCTTGGGACCGTCTTGGGGACCTATTGGGCCGTTGGGGCCAGGAAGCCTCTTGGGCGATCTTGATCCTCTTGGCAGTCCCGTCGGAAGGCCGAAGAAGCGCAAAAGCCGAAATCCTTCAAAAACCAAATGAAAATCAATGATTTTGGACATCTTCGGGCCTTCCTGGAGAGCCTCATGGAGGCGTCTTGGGCCGTCTCGGAGGCCTCTTGGGAGCGTTGGAGGCCTCCTGGGCCGTCTTGGAGGCATCTTGGAACCATCTTGGCCGTCTTGGAGCCATCTTGGCCGTCTTGGAGGCGAACTTGGAGGCCATCTGGGGCCATTTTGCCAACGTGGAGGCTATCTTGAGCCGTCTTGGAGGATTGTGTCCGGACGTTGAGGTCCTCTTGGGGGCCTTTTGGGCGCTTCTTTGGGCCTCTTGGGGGCCTTTTGGAGCTTCCTGGGGCCGACTTGAGGCGGAGGGCTCGGATTTTCGGTTCGCAGTCCCCCTCTTGGATCCCTCTTGGGGCTGTCTTGGTGCCCTCTTGGGCCGTCCTGGGCGCCCCTTGTGCCGTCTTGGAGTCCTCTGGGGCCGTATTGGGGCCCTCTTGGAGGCCTCTTGGGCCGTTTTGGAGCGGTCTTGGGAGAGCCTCTTGAGCCGTCGTGGAACGTCGGAAAGCCGAAAAGGCGAGAAGGCTAACACCCTTCAAATAACTACGTAAATTTGACGATGTTGGCCTCTTGGGGTTCTATCGGGAGGCCTCTTGGTGGTTTCTTGGGGCGTATTGGAGGCCTCATGGGCCGTCTTGTCTTGGGGAGATGTTTGGGCGTCTCGGGGCCCTCTTGGACCGTCTTCAGGGCCTCTTGAGGCCTTCTTGGCCCGTTTTGGGGCCCTCTTGGGCCCGAAAAAGTCACGCCACAATCTGTTGTCCTTCTCATCATCGTCCTTCTCATCCCCTTCTCCTCCTCCTGCTCCTCCTCCTTCTTCTCCTCCCCTTCCTCCTCCTCCTCCATATCCTCCTCCTCCTCCTCCTCCTCCTCCCCGTCCTCCCCCTCCTCCCCCTCCTCCTCCTCCTCCTTTCGATACCTTTCGATGTCGGGTCTATGTCGCGGTCGGCGGCGTACCCGTTACCCTCCTTCTCCTTCTCCTCCTCCTCCTCTTCCTCCTCTTTCTCTTCCTCCTCCTCCTCCTCCTCCTCCCTCCTCCCTCCTCCCTCCTCCCTCCTCCCTCCTCACCTGCCCCCCTACGGTGGTGCATGTATCGGGGGTGGACAGGAGCCCGCCGCGGCCGTCATTTTCCATGCTTCCGCCCGCCATTTTGGGCCCGAGGTCGTTTCCACTAAACCACGTTTTACTAAAGTGGGTTCTGTCCATCCCCGAATATGGGGTGAAGCCGCCAGGGGGGAGGGTCGCATATCGGCGGCGCGCCGAGGGGAAAAATCGGAGAGTTTCGGGTTCGTGGTTCGAGGACTTCGGGCGCTTGCGTCGGTTATCGGCGGCTTCCCGTGCTCGGACGCTTCCAGCAGCCGCGCCTCGCCTAGAGGCGTCCAGAGATGGCCGGATCGTTCCGAACGGCCACGGGGGAGCCGAGGTGGGTCTCGAGAGCCGAGGGGGCAGCCAGGAGAGGATGGGCTTTCTCAGAATGCGGGCGCGCTTCCCTTCTGAGAAGCCCTCTGTGCCTTTCTTCTCAGACGCCCAGAGGGCCGTCGGAGCCTTCTGCGAAGGCCCGCCCTCGAGTGCCGCCGAGTTTCGGTTGCACGTGCGAGTGACCCCTCGCCAGAGTGACCTCTGTCGCGGGCCCACGAAGGCAGCGGCTTGCGCGCTCGTGTTCAGCGTTTAGCCCCCCTCCCAAACGCTTCGCACCGCAGGTCGCTCGTACCTAGGGCCACTACTGCGTGCAGCCGAACGTTCCCTAGATCTCCGTCGTCTTGGAAGCATCAGAACGGGCATGGGTATGCCTTTTCGAGTTCAGGAGCGCGAGAAAGCAACTCGGAGTGGAAAGCCAGTCGGGCCGATGGCCTGCGCATCAAAAATGCACGCATACATTGGAGCTATGGTCTCCTGTGCCTCCTCCACTCACTTCGTCATCCGAGGAGGACGAGGAGTTACAGTCAACCACGATAGTAAGGATGGGGCAACTTTCCAAGGCTACCCTTGCATCCTTGCCCCTTCGATATTTGGCATCCTTCGGCATTCTGCGCTCCGCACGGGAAACGTCAACATGGCGTTCAAAGGCCCTTGCATCCTTACCGCGCATCTTTACTATCCTGGTCGAGTGTATCGAGGATCTGTGTCAGCGTGGGCTCTCTGTGGGAACAGGGAGAGTCCAGGGACCTGCAGAGGCCTCTGGAGACGCCCGGAGGCTTCCAGACTGGGGGTGCCCTCCTCCAGAGTGGTGAGCAATCACGGCGGCCGGCCTTTTCAGGTCTGGGCTCTGTCGGGAGCCTTGAGACGGGGGTCAATGCAAACGGGGGTCAGCCAGAGCGCCAGATCTTGCATGATCCTGCAGGGCCAGCTTCCCATTGACACGGGCTTGGGTGCAGGACCCTGCAGGATCTTGAAGGATCTTTCGCATTGACCCGGGTTTGGGTGCAGGGTCTTGCAGGATCTTGCAGGATTTTGCAAGGCCTGGCTGACCCGGGTCTGGATTGACCCGGGTCAGAAGATCCCCGGTTTTGGGCGCCCTCCCCAGGAACGACCCACGTCGTGGCGAGTGGTGGGTTCGACGGAGCATCAAGTAAAGCACCAGCGACACGCTCTCTTTCTTCCGGTGCGTGATACGCAATCCTCTTTGGTGCAACAATCTTGTGCCCTTTCAGTGATATGCTGACGGGGCCGTCCGATTAGCGTGGCATTGATACCAATTTGGCTCTCCGAGGCTGGTCTTCAGCTCCATTGTTCAGCGGATTGCGAAACGAGATATGTATTCACTTCTCTTCTTG